CTACTACTGCTACTTTTGCCTTCCTGGTCTTCGCAGCCTCTAGCAGTATGCATCTTTAATTCCTGCTCAATCTTGATTTTTCCTCTTCTTTAGTTTCTAACAGAGGGAGAGAGAGAGATGAATAGACAAATTGAATATTCATGCAGACCATGGATGGGCACAAGGGAATTTTCTACAAAGCAGTATAAATATAAAGCATGCTCTGACTGTGTAGGCCAGGTGAAACTTCCTCAAGCTGCAGCCCCTCCCTCAGTTGGTAGCTCTATAGGCACTGCTGGAAATGAGGCCAGAATAGAAGCATTACTGCGTAACACTAAGGCAGAGGGAAGGCCTTACATGCCATATATAAACATTTCCTTCTGGTTTGATGAAGCATTCAGATGGGTTACACAGGTCTTCTCTTTCCAAGGCTTGGAAACTTCACGTTATGCAGTACAATGGTGCCTTGACTTACAAACGCCCCGACGTATGAACATTTCGACTTACGAACAGCTCCGTTCGCAAAATTTTGCTTTGACTTGCGAACGGAGCTTTGACTTACAAACAAAAAATGCAGGGAAAGCTGGAAATGGACTTTGAACTGCCTGGTACTGTAATTTTAAAATGTAAAAATTGGTTTAAAAGGTGCTTGGTTTGGTTTAAAGCTGCTTGGTTTCAAAGCTGTTCTGTTTAAAAGGTGTTTGTTCCCTCCCTCCTTTCCTGCCTTTTTTTTAACTTAAGTCATCTTAGGTTAAAAAAAATCTCCCCCTAGTGGTAGAGGATGGATTAACCGATTTTATATTCGTCCCTATGGGAAAGAATGCTTTGACTTACAAACGGCGTCTCTACATATGGACAAAAAACAGCTGGAACGGATTAATTGGTTTTCAGTGCATTCCTATGGGAAATGCTGATTTGACTTAGAAAGTTTTGACTTACGAGCATCTTCTCTGATGTACTGTATTAAGTTCGTAAGTCGAGGCACCACTGTATACTGGAAGGAACCTTCAAAATCAGCCATGGAGAGCTTTTGTTTCTTTCTTTCTAGTGGAGCTGGATAAAAAAAAGCAAGCCATTCAAGGGATACCATTGCTTTTCAAAAATAAAGAACAAAAATGGAAAACAAAACTAAAAATCCTTTTTGGGCTTAGCTCTTGTGAGACAGGAGGCGAGAGGGATATCCCACTCGCTGGAGAGCCGTCCCACCTCTGTACCGAAGAGAAGGAGATACAGACTAAACCTGTCACAGCACCCAAAAAGACAGAGCAGTGAGAGACAGAAAAAGACGGGCTAGAAAGAAAGGTACAAAGAGTGACTTTGGAAAAGGCTCAGGAAGAAACAGCGAGAAAAGAGCGGAAGAAGAGGGTGGAGCTTGAGGCGGGAACAATGGAGATAAAAAGAAGGGAGAAGCAGTTACCACCAGGTTGGGAGTGGATATGGATGGAGAATCCCTGGACTGGGGCATGGGAGAGGTCAAGAGTGCCCAAGGAATAGGCTGATTAGAGGAGGAGAAGAGAGGTACCACCCAGACCATCATATTGGGGAGAGGCTGAGGGAAGAGAGTGGAGAAGTAGGCTGAGAGAAGAAAAGGAGAAAGTTGAGAGAGAGAGGAAAGAAAGGTTAGAATGGAGGATAAATGAGATGAGGAGGAAGGGTTACGGGGAGAACCCTGGAAAGACCCAGCACCCGAAGGACGCCCATTGTGGAATGACAGCCGGGATGACGAGACCATGCCCTTGTTGGAATGTGAGACGGGACAAAACATAGCCAATGTCTTTATAGACTGGCTGGGTCCGTGGAATGCGTTGGAAGGTGAGACGGGACAGAACATAGCCAATGTCTTTATAGACTGGCCGGGTCCGTGGAACGCCTGTGAGAGAAACCCCTTCCTTAGTGATGACTGGAAATCCCTTCAAGACCCATTGTCAGAAGGAGAAAAACGCTGGAATCATGTTATGGACACTTGTTACTTGTTAAATACTCCAATAAATATTTCACCTGTTTTGAAACAACAAAAATCTGATTTCTTTCAAGCAAGTAGGGAGCACAAATTCAAACCCTCACAGCTCTGATTTGTATTGAACAACAGTGTTGCAGTCATATAAGTATTTTTTGAGTGTAGTCTTTTTGCTCTTTTATTTCTATTCCTGCAGTTTTGACATGAACTCTCAGTGCACATTCTTAAGACAGTTGCCAGGCCTCAGCACGTGTTTGATTGGTTCTGTATGACCCTATCTAGCTCCCATTTTAATTTCCTGCTGTGACCCAGAGCAATACTACATCTGGGCACTGAGGAAAATTTAAATAGTGGCAAGTTCGAAATCCTTCTTATCTAAGCTAAAACTACTCCTACTTCTTTTAGCAAACTCTGTAACATACCATGTAAAGTAGCAAATCTATAAATCCCTCTGAAACTAATATGAGCAATGCAGTCATAAGCCACCACAAATTTGTCTGCCTCTAATTATCCACTGAATATTCTGGTCTCATTACTAATAGAATCTTTTGAACTCTTGCTTCAGGTCTCTCTGAATAGCTGGTTGCCCTCAGCAGTTCCCCTTCTTGGGAATCACCGAGATTAATTTAGGTCTTTGTGTCCAGTTGCGTTGAAAAATACAAACATAGCACACAATTGTTAACCTTCAACGGTTTGGGTACATTATTCATGTTAGCTGTTTGTATATTTCCCATTATGGAATGTAATTTTAGATTGTGGTCCTACGGCCTTAGACTGCATTCTTGTATATCTAATTCCTAATCCGATTAAAAATGCTTCGTTTTAAGCACTAAGCACTCTTCTCCATGGTTGGTTGGAGTGCCAAGTCAATGTACTCAGGATTGGAAGCAAGCTTGCCCATTGCATTATGCTAAAACTTGTTATCTCACTAATTCAGTGTGCCACAAAGTTGCCCACACACACACACCTGTAAGCAAACGTAAATGGCAAACACACATACGGTCTACAGGGAAGGGGAAAATCTGCACTTTAGTGGAATAATTCTGAAGGAATAATCAAGTCTTTCTGAAGCCATAATCAAACTCCATTCTCACCTACCTCTTCTTCCCGATATTTATCTTTCCCTGTGTTTTCAGATAAATGAGGTTTTCTCAGGCAGCTCAATGTGGTCACTCTCCCTCATCTCCATTCTGTCTGTGTAGCACTGAGACATTCCATTTCGGTAGCTATGATATGTTCAATCATCATTCTTTATGCTTCCAGCCATAAACAGCACAATATCTTACTTTGGAAGGAAAAAGATCCATCTTTTATGGGCCACTGCTTTCCCTTATTGTAGATTAACCTTAAAAGAACACATCTAGCATGCTGAGCAACACTCTGACTGCAGGACTGCAGTTGTTGATGCGTGCCATCTGCAACATCATTAGATAGTTCAAATTGTAGGGTAACCTGCAGCCACTGCTAACACATGTCTCCAGGACAGTTATGATATGGTGGGAAACATTATCTCACAAGCTTCTCCTGGAGGAACTGATGACCTCCTTTCCCCCCACTCCCAACCTCTTATTCTCCCTTTTGGATGCTTCCTTTGCCTCCAGATGAATCCAGTGCACATACCACTTTCAAAAGTTTCTGTTGTTCTTAGCTTCAGGTTTTCTGTTGTTTTTGTTATTGTTCGTTTGTTTTTTGGTGTGTTTTTTTGGTAAATAAATGACTATCAGTCCTATAGGGTGTATCGCAATACTGGCAAGTAACTGGACTTGGGCAATGAGACTGGAATGCCAGCAGGTGGTATTGGTATTTAACATGGATAGTCTAACAGTGAAATCAGTGCTGGAGTTTATCCTGAACGGATGGACGACTGCTAATTTGCACATTTAATTAACTTAATTGGAAATTTTGATGGCTGACAGTATGGGAATTGTGACAAGTCCTAGTTTTCCAGCTGAGTCTTCCAGCATCCATTTAAAAAGAAAGGGGAGGGGGAAATCTGCAGTTCTGCCAACCCCAAATGTTCAAAAACAGGACTAATGTAAGTGTCCTTTGATTTGCCTTCTGGTTTCAGAGCTTTCAGGATTCACTGCCAGTATGTTTTCAGTTTCTTCATTTCAATTGACAAGTGCTACAACTACTTTTAAAATTGCTGGCTGAGCAAGTCTTCCTAAACAAAGCAAATGCATCAGAGAATACAAATTTGTGTCCTCTTGTTTCCCACAGTATAATATAGCATAATGTTCTGATTTCCTGTTTAATAATATAATCTATTCGTATTATATTCAAAAAGTATTAGAATGCATGCAGCAATAAGTGGTCTGTTCCTATCCACCAGGCTCTTTACAAAGCACTTGTCCTTTCAGACTGATAATGTAGTCCTAAATAGGAATACCAGGTCCTTCCTGTAAATTTATCCTGTCCTTTTAAAACCAAAATTTGAATCACATAAGTAGTCTTAGTTTCTTCTTCCTTGTCTGCCCCTCCACGTTCTGTACAATACAGAGCAAGAGGGAAGTGGGTTGAGCATGAGGAACAAAAGTCCTAAGGAAGGGCGACATGGGCAGCTGTCTCATGTTAACGGGCAGAGCAATCTAGCAGCCTTACGAGATGAATAGATTCTTTGGTCAGTAAATATAGAGAAAAGCATGCACAGACAAACCAGTCTAAGAGGGGGCAGGAAATAAAACTGTACTAGTGTCTGTTGTTTTTCTATGTGTTGCCATCTCCCTTCTAGCTTAAGATGATCCTAATTGTGTTTTCAAGATATGTGAGATGTTCAAGGCATGATTCCCCTTCCAGTTACTCTCCATGGCCAAGCAATGATTTGAACCCTGGTGTCTGAATAACTGAAAATCAGTATTTATTTGGGTTGCTTGAGTGCTTGGAATTCTGCTTCCAGAGATTCTGGAAATTCTGAAGTTGTAGTCCAAAAATCTATATTTTCCTAACTCTGAGAATTTATGTCGCCTTTTGGAAAATGGTCATAGCATTGTCTTTGGTGTTGCGAAGTGGACTCCTACTCCAGTTGTGCACATTCACAAGAACCATGCCATGTTATTTCCCACAGGAATTCCAAAAATTGCTGATGAAGGGGTCTTTTGGAGTGCTGCACAGTAGGTGCTGAAACCAGTTGGATGGAAAGAAATAAACCATGGCCGTTCCAGTCTGAAAAAGAATCATCCCGCATCAAGTTACAGTAGCCAGCGGCCATGTCAAAAAAAGGACGCAGCAAGGCTGAAAAGCCTGAGGTCTTGATAATGTCTTTACAAGCTGCTAATGAAGACCTCAGGACCAAGCTAACAGACATTCAAATTGAGCTTCATCAAGAGAAGTCAAAGGTGAGTGGAAAACTTACAGGAGATGGCAAGCAGCTTAAACTATGGCTCAGTCACAAGTAATGGGTGAAAGATACCTTCTGTCCACCCCATCAGGTGGATGGATAATTTTTACAGAGTTTCTTAGGCAGCTTCCTTTCTGATTTTTCATCAGAATAAATGCAAAGTGATATTTGGTTCATGGATTACAGATAGTCAGAAATTCTCTCCAGATGATATTTCAAATGTCTGGCTTCAGTTCTCTCTCTCTCTCTCTCATAGTAAGTTACACTATAGTGGGACCATTAATTCCTCTATAGGTTCCTTTGATTTAAATGGGCCTACTTTACTTGTGAATAACTTGCTGCTATATTTCAACCAACAGCATTCAGCAGTAACTTGAGAGAGGCTTCACTGTCACCTGAGATCAAGCAGGTTTCAAAAGTTTCAAGAATTTGAAAATCCTGTTTATTTTTGATGAGAGGAGAAGACCTTAGGTAGTTCTTTTTTGAAACTGCTTTCAGGCCTCTGGGAGATAGGGTCAGAGGTACGAAACATCTGCAGTCTTAATGTATGATGATGGACATTGCCTAGGAAAAGGTTTGCTGCCAAATGGAGTTTAATGTGCCCAATATTAATGGAGACCCACTTTCAGTTACTGGAGGAATTGATACAGACACAGAAAGTGACACAAGCTCTTTTCAGTATGAGGGATGTTCTGGTTCCAGAACAAACTAGATTATTGAATGGTGATCTCAAGCTGCAACTACATGGCAAGATTAATTGCTCGATTCCCAACCTATTTTACACTTCTGTTTGGATTAGTTAATCACATTGATTCTGCAAATTATTTTGATGCCAATGTCCACACTGGCACCTCAAACTGATGCTTTCTGATCTGTGCCATAGCTCACAGCTCCCCTTCTTTTGATCCTGCCCTCTGCTGACCCCCCGCCCCCCATCACTCCTTTTAGATTTCATTGTAAGGTCAGTGAGTTGTTTAAGGTGTTGCACAATGCTAGGGATAAAAGGAAAGGGGGAAGTTTTTCAAAGTTCTCTATAATATACAAACAGAAACACATATACTACAGAAACAGAGTAGCCATAGTTGTTTTTATTTCATATCAATTTGTATCACTTTTTTTGTCCTTGCAGAGGGGATCTGGCACTAAATTACTGTAGTATATCAATGTAATGATAAGGTGATCTAGTGCTAAATTTGGTAGTTTGTTTTTAATTGAGGTGACCAAAAAGAAAAACCGCAGGGGTGGGTGTGTTGAAAATTTTTTAAAAATGTGTTCATGGAGTGCAAAGGTGTCACCCTAAAAATCACAGAATCATGAAGTTGGAAAAGGCCTATGAGGCCAACGAGTCTGTCCCCATGTAATGATAAGGTGATCTAGTGCTAAATGTGGTAGTTTGTTTTTAATTGAGGTGACCAGAAAGAAAAACTACAGGGGTGGGTGTGTTACATTTTTTTTAAAAAATGTGTTCATGGAGTGCAAATATGTCACCCTAAAAATCACAGGATCATGAAGTTGGAAAGGACCTATAAGGCCAACGAGTCCGTCCCCCTGCTCAATGCAGAAATACAAATCAAAGGATGGTTCAGTCTTTTTCTCCTAGGGCTTGATTTCCAGCCCCTGGATCCAATCAAAGGATGGTTCAGTCTTTTTCTCCTTGGTTTCCAGCCCCCAGATCCTCCTTGTTGCTCTCCTCTGAACTTGTTCCAATTTGTTAGCATCCTTCTTGAAGTGGAGTATCCAGAACTGGTCTCAAGGTGAGGCCTAACCAGTGCTGAATAGAGAGGGACTAGCACCTCACAGGATTTGGAGACTATACTTCTGTTAATGCATCCTAAAATAGCATTTGCCCTTTTTTGTAGCCACATCACACTGTTGGCTCATATTCAGCTTGTGATCTATGATGATTCCAATATCCTTCTCACTTGTAGTATTTCTAAGCCAGGTAGCCCTCACCTTGTAACTCTTTAGTTTCTTTTTTCCAAGGTGCAGTACTTTATATTTATCCCCGTTGAATTTCATTCTGTTGTTTTCAGCCCAATGCTCAAGCCTATCTAGATCATTTTGAATTTTGTTTCTGTCTTCCAGGGTATTAGCTATTCCACCTAATTTTGTGTTATCTGCAAATTTGATTAGCATTTCCTGCACTCCCTCATCCAAGTAATTAATAAAATGTTGAAGAGCAACAGGCTCAGGACTACGCCTTGGGGTACTCCACTAGTTACCTCCTTCCAGTTAGAGAAGGACCCATTAATCATCACCCTCTGAGTACGATTCTGTAGCTGACTGTGTATTCCTCTGACAGTTGTTCTATCCAGCTAGCACCTAGTTAGCTTGTTAATCAGAATATCATGGGGCACTTTGTCAAAAGCTTTGTTGAAGTCTATCAGAGAGGTTCCCTGATCAAAAAATGAGATCAGGCTAGTCTGGCAGGATTTTTTCTTGAAAAATCCATGTTAGCTTCTAGTTATTACTGCATTGTTTTCTAGGTGCTTGCATAGCGACCGCTTTGTAGCCTCTTCCAGAATTTTCCCTGGGGTTGATGTTAGGCTGACTGATCTTTAGTTCCCAAGTTCCTCCCTTTTTCCCTTTTTGAAGATAGGGACAACATTATCTCTCCTCCAATCCTCTGTCACTTAACCCACTTCTCACGATTTCGAGAAAATAATGGACTGTGGTTCTGAGAGTTCTCTAGCCAGTTCCTTCAATATTATTGGAGGCAGTTCATCCGGCCCTGGGGATTTGAACTTGTTCAAGGTTATAAGGTATTTCTTGACTATTTGTTTATCAATCTCAAACTCAATTTCCAGCTGCAGTCCTGTCCCATTGACTTACACTTCACAAATGTCTGGCAGGTCATAGTATGTCCTTTGGGGAAAGACTGAGCTAAAATAGGAATTGAGCAATTCTGCCTTTTCTTTGTTTTCTGTTATCATTTTTCCATCTGCGTTTAGTAGCTGTGCCACTGTTTCTTTTCTTTGCCTTTTGCTACGCACATACCTGAAGAATGCTTTTTTGTTGCTTTCATTGTTTCTAGCTAACCTCAGGTCACTCTCAGCTTTTGCCCTCCACTTATTTGTACTTTCCTTTGTGGCCTGACCTCATTTCCACTTCCTATACATGTCCTTTTTTGTTTTCAGGTACTCTCTGTGCTTTTTGTGAAGTCACACACCTTTTTGCTGTCTCCCGCCTTTCAGGTCCTCTCTGTGCTTTTTGTGAAGTCACACACTTACCTTTTTGCTGTCTCCCGCTTTTTTATTTTTCCTGTTGGAATTGTTCTTAGTTGTGCCTTTCGATCTTCCTTTTTAAAGAAACTACTACCTTTCTTAGACTCCTTTTCTTGTTAAGATCTCCTGCCATGGGACCTTATTTATCATTGTCCTGAGTTTTTTAAAATCGACTTTTTAAAAATCCAGCATATGTGTGTGGCTACACTCTGCTTTCGTTTCCTTTGTAATCAAGAATTTTAGTAGGACATGGTCTGCCGTTACCTATCCCATTGGAATGCTCCCACAGCAATAGGTTATGCCATTTGGTCACTTTCAAAGCCATGTCCTATACCCGCAATATTGATCTTGATGATAAGACAGATAGGTTTGGTTTGGCTAAATTATAAATACAGGGTGGGATCACATAAAGTGGTATGAGACACAATGGGAGACGCACACTGTTATTGAACTGAAAGGTGTCTAATCCAAACAGGATGTAAAGTGTGCAACAGAGAATGGAACTGATGCCAGGCGGATGTCATAGATTCTAACTGGCCAATGCTGGGTGGGAAAATGATTTTCTGGGTGTGTCCTTAAATCTCTTTAGAGCTAAGTAATGCCTTTTTGCTTTACATATTTTTACAATTTAAAATTGTAATATTGTAAGAGATATGCTTTCTGTCCTTTGCTGTTTTAATATGCCTTATTATCAGGCTGTAAATTATTACATTTTTGGAATGCATTTGAAACATTCTCACTGTTCTTTTTCATTTTAAAGGAATCTTTACGCTTAAGAGATATTATACGCCTATATTTTAGGCATAAGGGCTTGCTTACAACTTAAATTCACTTTTCATATTTTTAAACATATGTACCTACAACTTTGTTCATAGCTGTAAGGGTGTTTTTTTAAAGCAACATGCCCGTGACTTCTTAGAAGTTACATGTTTTAAAATACTTATTGATCTCATGTTTTTCATATGGAAAGTAGTAGATGTAGAAATAAAACTTGCACAGAATTCTAGCTCCTGTTCCCTGAAGATGACGGCCACAAGAGACTGACAAAACATTGGGAAGAAAAACCTCCAGAACACGGCCAAACAGCCCCCAAACCCCACAACAACCATATGAAGAAGCAAATTCATTCATTTTACACCCGGAGCAAATTCTAAAGTTACCTAAAGTTACCATCTTGCACAGTATTTGATTGTGTAGTAGCAGCCTCACTTGGCTGAGGCCTCTGAATTCCGAGCACCATTATTTTATGTGCTCTGGACCTGTCGGCAAGACAGGCTGGATTGAAATATAAGGCCCCTTGAAAACCTAAGTGTCTACTCCATGCAAGATTTCCATACAGCAATATTGTTATCACCCTTACCATTCCCATAGCCTGGCCAAATGCACTGGGCAGTAAGTTAAAGGCATTGGAAAGAAAAACCTAAAGTTACCATCTTGCTCTAGCCTATAACAATAGAGATTCTAAATTTAACTCCATAACAGTCAAATTATGACAATGTGTTCGGGTTTGTTTGTTGTTGTTTTGGGAGGAGTTTCAGGAAGAACTCCATAACAGTCAAATTATGACAATGTTTGTTTGTTGTTGTTTTTTTGGGAGGAGTTTTAGGAAGAAACTGTAATTTAGCTGAAATCAATTCTGCATGAATTGCTTGATAAAGTGACAGGTTCTATACACAATTATGATTTTAAGATATAAAAGTGCACACAATATGTAGCTTCACAGGCTTCAAAGCAGTTTTACATATGCTGGAGCAAAATGAGGATATAGCATTCT